ATGTACGTATAGAAGGCCACCATGAACAAGCTGCACGAGGGAGCAATCACACAGCCAAAGAGAGTGGAACACGTTGACAACAATATCGATAGCGGTAACAGCGACAGTAAGCAACTGCAAAGCGGCTGAAAATAACAGCAGAGTTAAACAAAAGCACCAACATGCACAGTGGAGGCGACTCAGCATGTCATACCTTGCAAGTGCAGCCAAGCCAGTTGGGAAGAGTGCCTTGGTCTGACAACATCAGCACACAGAAAGGAATGCGAACCAGCATGTGAGTCATTTTGGACGAATAATAGCAGGAAGTGTTGAATATAACTATTTGTCAGTAAACATGTACCACTGCCCAGACACAGGAGGCTGTCTTCCAGTTGCATGCGTAATCAAAATCAATAACGCAAAGAGAAAGAGCAGGGCACAAGAAAAAACAGCATCAAGAGCGTACCACAGCGAAGCGAGTTGCTTCATTGATGAACACAAAGCTTGACAGCACTGCAGGGGAAAGCACATCAAGGGGTAAAAAATGAACGAAATTGAGCTTTTATGCTCGTAGTGCCCTGTTCGCGCTGCAAGAGAAATGCCACACGACCAGACAAGCCTGAATGTCTCAAAATAATCTTGATAGAAATACGAATTACTCACCTCCTTGAATAGCAATGTACAGTGCGGAAGGACGGTGATTCTGCCAGGCATGGAGGCTGGAGATGCTACACGCGAGAATAATACCCCCAACGATCATGCCAAATCGAAGGGCGTTGACGCTCCCTGCCAGAGTGAACCAGGTCACCCCTCCGACCACCAGCAGGGCACCTGAAGACAAACAGCAAGGCAGTTTCATTGAGACATGACCCAAGTGACCTATACACAACAGTAACAAATAGCACAAGGACATGATACGCAATCAACAGCAAACAATCACAGCTCAGTGACTCAGGGTGGTGGAGGTTGAAACTGAGACCTACCATATGGGATTCCCAGACAGAAGTCATGAATCACAGCTCCTCTCCTGATAGCGTCCTTAGAATGTGATGACACGGCTGTCTCCACAATCTCCCTGATGGGTTCCGGAGCGTCTTTAGCAACTGCAACAATCTGATCCTTATTCTCCTCCACGTGATGCAGCGCTTCTTCTATCTGATGCGACGCTTTCTCCGCCTGCTCCTTAATCTGCACCTTTGCCTTCTCAGCTTGGACTTTAAGTTGCTCTGCCAGAATCTCGGCCTTATGCTTCACCTCTGATGCTGCTTGCTGGGTTTGCACCTGAAGCTCTTGCAGCTCATCGGGTGTTGGAAGCTTAACCTTGTCTTCAATGGCATGGGCAGCGTCTTCTAAGACGTGCGAAGCGCCTTCAGTAATCTTCTGGAATTTCTTGGACGCTTCAGATGCGATCTTCTGGAGCTCCTCCTTGACCTTGTTATCCTGAATGGAGGAGATTTGTTTAAAGAAGAAGGTTGAAAAGTCCCACTCTCGACGGTGAAATGAAAGGAAGAAGAAGCAGTTTTTTTATTCTATCAAAATACCACAAGAAGTAGTCAGAGGCAAAATGACTTTACCTCGGCTACAGCTCGAACGCCGTGCGACTTTCGAAGGCGCAGCGTTGGTCCAGCAGAGGAAAGAGACGAAAATGACTTCCCAAATAAACTTCCGTTCAAGCTGGTCGATAGTCTGCCGGCCTGACCGCCTGCCAAAGCCCCTGCCCTCAAACAAGCAGCCATGTTGGATATCGTCGCTAGCGGAAGTACTGGGAACAGCGAACGCGTAGACTATATTAACAACCACAGAAGCGAGGAGAAATTTCACTACACGATCTTTGAAAAACGTAATAACTTGGTGATTGCAAGATTCAAGAACCTGAGGTACCTGGGATGGTGAAACAACAAGCTAAGCTTGCGGATTTCAGTCGAAGAAACAAAATCAGTAGCAGATGCAGAAGTGAAGCACTAAACAGAGAATCCAGGAAGAAGCACGAAAAGTATGCATTTGATTCAGAGGTTCATACACTCACGAACAATAGCGAACTGTTACGTAGTTTGAGAGTGTCGAATATCTGCCGCCCTTTTGTTGAATGGACCCGCGAAACCTCGGCGAGGTAGAATCAGCTTCGCGAACAGCAGGCCCAGTTCTCAGGAAAAGAGGGTCCATGTAAGCAAAAGCGCCTGGTTAGAGGGGACATTTGTGGCTATCCCTTGTTTCATGGGGCACGCACCTCAGCCGAAGCACTGAAGGGAGCTCCCGGCCATATGTGATTGGCAGATGGACAAACCGAACCTGGCTTTGACTTCAGACCATTTGCTAGAGGATTCATTGCTGACGGGGTTGAGGTAGACGCACCACATTGCAAATCTCTAGAAAGTGGAATCTGTATACGCGTTGTAAACATTCACCAGCGAAGTTTGGAATCTCAACAAACAATTACCCAGTCTCTTCTGCCCAATCAGCAACCGGTGTACTTCCACTTGGTTCTTGTTGACGAGAATCCTCAACTGGTTTCGAGTCTCCTGATAATCCTTGCTCTTCAACTTCTTCTCGACCAATTAAAGAATGGACCGACGCAAGCTCTCGCACGATAGTTGGCTCCACTGCCATCTGGAGAAATACGCAAGCATCAAACAGAAACCACCACAACACAGACCACAAAGAAAATTGCATGAAGAGCAGTGAAGCGATGAAATGTTGCAATTTCTTCCCACCTCCATCATACGATCACCCGTTTCGCCTGTAGCCGACCGATTTTGTTTTGAGCTGCCTCAATGCCACACCATCCGCCAGGAAGCTCACCACCTCTCATCTCAACCTTCCAACCTCCACCGCATTCACATCCATCCCACCTCCCTCATGCAATCACCTGTTTTGCCTGCAACCGACCAAACTCTGCCTGGAGCTGTCTCAACGCCACACCATCCCCCTGCATCCGCACCACCTCTCCCCGCAACCTCCCAATCTCTGCCCGATCCTCCTCCCGAGCCGCTTTCACCTGCACCAGATCTGCCTGGGTCTGCTCTAGTGACACACGCAGCTGAGCCCGCTCCTGGGCCCACTGCTGCATGGCACTGGTTACCATTGCAAGGCTCTGCTGCACTGTTGCTGCTAGGCCTGCCATGGCGATTGCATCCACTGCTCCTGCTGCTGATACTGCCTCCTGTTGTTGCTGCTTCTGCTGCTCTTGCTCCCGCTGCTTCTGCTGAGCTTGTTGCTGCTGCTGCTGCTCCTGCTGCTGCTTCTGCTGTTGCTGCTGCTGCTGCTCCTGCTGCTGTTGCTGGTGCAGGTACTGCTCTTGTTGGTGATATGGATGCTGCATTTGCGGGTGCATCTGTGCTTGCATTGATGCCTGTGCCCACCATTCCTGCTGCTGCTGCTGCTGCTGCTGCTGCTGCTGCTGCTGCTGCTGCTGCTGCTGCTGCTGCTGCTGCTGCTGCTGCTGCTGCTGCTGCTGCTGCTGCTCTTGCTGTTGCTGCTGTTGCTCTTGCTGCTGCTGCGGCTGCTGAGGGGGAGGAGCATAACCAGCACCCCCTGCTCCAGCCATGGACATAGGCATGGGAATAGGCATAGACATTGGCATAGGCATGTGCATGTGCATGGGAATGGGCAAGGGCATGGGCATGGAATACGGAAAGGGGTAATTGCCAGGGGCACCAGGGTATTGGGTGGGGGGATACGCGAGGGCATAGTATGCCATTGGGGCTGTTGCTGCAGAGCTCTGTGTGTCTGGTGTTGCCGCTGGTAAGGATGGTGACGCTGGTGCTGCTGGTCCTGCTGCTGTTGGGGCCAGAGATGCTGCTGCTGGTGCTGGTGCTGCTGGTGCTGCTGTTGCTGCTGCTGGTGCTGGTGCTGGTGCTGGTGCTGCCGGTGCTGCTGTTGCTGCTGGTGCTGCTGCTGTTGGGGTTGGTGGTGTTGCTGCTGGTGCCAATGCTGGTGCTGCTGCCATTGCTGGTGATGTTGATGGGAGTGGTGCTGCTGCTGGTGCTGGCGGTACCATTGTTGCTGCTGCAGGCAATACAGCAGCTGTAGCTGCAGAAGTCACAAGTGCTGTTCCTTCTGACGTGGCTGTTGCATCTGTAGCCACATATTTCAGTCCTGGGTCCTCCTTTTTCGCCCCAGAAACATGTGCTGACTTAGCTGCTCTCTTATCCCCTTTCCCATTACTGGTAGCAGCACCAGCACTCCCACCATCACTACCACCGTTACTATCACCAACACCACTATCATCACCACTCGTATTATCACCACCACTACCACTATACCCACTGTCACTGTTTTCATCATCACTATCATCTGCAGCTGCTGTTACTGGTGCTGGTGGTGCTGCTGTGGCTGCTGCTGCTGCTGTGGTTGCTGCTGCTGCTGCTGCTACTGCTGCTGATACTGCTGCTGAAACTGCTGCGCCTGATGATGATGCTGCTACTGCTGCTGGTATTGCAGACGTGGTTGAAACCTCAGGAAGCTTCGGGTCCTTGTCCATACCAGAATTACCACTGCCACTGGAGGGCAGCAGCCAGGCTCGGATAGCCGCCGAAGCTGGTGCCGAGCCTGTTTTCGGACGAGGCTTGGGAACGATCAAGTCATCGGGTTTACCTATGAGTTTCTCACCGACAGCCTTCTTAGAACCTTCCTTTCCCAGTGGGTCTTTGACAGGGGAAGATGTAACCGGGGCAGATGTAACCCAAGGCACAGCAGGGGCGTTGACTTTGGTTGACCCACTAGAACTAGGAGAAGATGAAACCCAGGGCACAGAAGATGCGTTGACTTGGGTTGACTGCGCAGGACCCGGAACAGATGAAACCCAGGAGTCACGGGCTGGGGGGTTCCCGCCTGTTCTAGGCCCAACCCATGGCCCAGGCCCGTGTCCAGGTCCGGGGCGAGGTCCGGCACCAAACCCTGGGCTATTTTGTGGTCCAGGTTTGGAGGGAGGCTCGGAATTGGACCAAGATACAGGCCCAGGTTGAGGTTCGGGGCGGTTCCAAGCTCCAGATTTGGATGGGGGTCCGGAATTGGATGTGTAATTAGGTCCGGATGGCTTGGAAGGTCCGGCATGAGGTCCGGGATGAGGTCCAGGAGGAGGAGCGGAAGAATGCCAAGGTGGTTGGGAGGATGAAGCGGCAGAGGAGGATGAATTGGAGGATGAAGAGGAGGAGGGGCGGGGTAGGGGGAGGGGTTTGTGCGGCGAAGCAGCGGCAGGAGGAAGGGGATTCAGAGGCGGATGAGAGGGATGAGAGGGATGAGAGGGAAATCCAGTCGGTGGCTGAGTGAGAGCGGGTTTCCGAGACGAATCAAAAGATGGGCTGGGGCGGGATGGGCCAGCGGCAGGGGAGTGCTTGCAGTAGAGAGCGAGGAGCTTCTGGGTCTGCTGGTGGTCCAATTCGAAAAAGAAGTGCGTGGGGGAGTAGTAGTTGAGGGCTGGGCCGTAGGCGGTCTCGGGGAGAGGGGAGCACCTGTGGCGCAGACGAACCTTTACCTGAAAGGGAGGGAAAAGAGGGGGAAGGGAGCGGAAGGAAGACGGCTGAGTGAGTGGGTTTCTGAGACGAAGTAAAAGACGTGCTAGGGCGGGAGGGGCCAGCGGCAGGGGTGTGCTTGCAGTAGAGAGCGAGGAGCTTCTGGGTTTGCTGGTGGTCCAATTCGAAGAATAAGTGTGTGGGGGAGTAGTAGTTGGCTGATAGGGTCGGGCCGTAGGTGCTCTCAGGGACAGGGGAAAACTTGTGGTGCAGACGAACCTTCACCTGGGGGGAGGGGGAGGGGTAGGGGGGATGGGGAGGGGGAGGAGGGGACGAGGGCAAAAGAGGCCAAGGCCGAAGGGAGGAGGGGAAGGGAAAGCAGACGCAAGGTAAAGGGAAGAGAAGGTAGGTTGAAGCATGAAGCAGGTCTGTATGGGTCTGCTGGTGGTCTAATTTGAACATGAAGTGCGTGGAGGAGTAGTAGTTGGCTGATAGGGCCGGGCCGTACGTGGTCTCAGGGAGAGGGGAACACTTGTGGCGCAGACGGAACTTCACCTGGAGAGGGCAGTAGGGGTGGGAAGGCAGGCTAACTGTGAACCAGGTGGGTCTGCTGGTGGCCTAATTCGAACATGAAGTGCGTGACAGAGTAGTAGTTGGCTGATAGGGCCGGGCCGTAGGTGGTCTCAGGGAGAGGGGAACACTTGTGGCGCAGACGGAACTTCACCTGGAGAGGGGAGTAGGGGTGGGAAGGCAGGTTAACTGTGAACCAGGTGGGTCTGCTGGTGGCCTAATTCGAACATGAAGTGCGTGACAGAGTAGTAGTTGACTGATAGGGCCGGGCCGTAGGTGGCCTCTGGGAGAGGGGAACAGTTGTGACGCAAACGAACCCGCACCTGGTCGGAAGGGGAGGAAAAGGGGATGGGAGAGGGAGGGGAAGAAGTAGGGCCAAAGAGGACAAGGCAGAAGGGAGGAGGGGAAGGGCGAACAGAGGCAAGGCCGAAGAAGGGAACGCGGGTTGAATCTACTCCTTGCAAGCCCCTGGGCGGTGCAAGTAGTTAGAGAGAAAGGGAGGCATGCTGGGAGACGGAGTGTAGGGAGGAGAGACCAGGGAAGAGAGGCGGCCCCTTGGAGAGACAGCAGCGACGAGAGGCTTGCGATTTGCAAAGGGACCAGAGAATAGAAAGAAGGAAAGAGCAGGGAGGGTACCTACCTGGGCGGGGAAGCGTGTCTCGCCGCCATTCCTGCCCATCCAGCCATGAGGGTCGATCTCCAGATCTCCGTGGCCGACTGCCTCAAACACCCCGTGTAAGCGGCGATCCGAGTAGTTGAAGAGGAAGAGAGGCATGCCGGGAGGGAGAAAAAGAGGCTGGGGAAGAGAGGCCAGAAAAGAGAGGTGGGCCCTTGAGGAGGGAGACAACAGAGAAGAGATACCAGAAGAGAGCAAGAAGAGACCAGGGAAGGGAGACCAGCAGACAGAGAGTAACGAGGGTACCTGGGCGGGGAAGCGTGTCTCGCCGCCGTTCCTGGCCGTCCAGCCATGCGGGTCGATTTCCAAATCTCCATGGCTCACCGCCTCAAAGATTCCGTGCAGGCGGCGGTCCAAATAGTTGAAGAGGAAGCAGGCTTGCCGGGAGCGAGAGAGAGGCACGCAGGAAGATCAAGGAGAGGCCGGGAAAGTGAGGCCAGGGAAGAGAGGTAGACCCGTGGACAGGGAGACAGAAGGGAAGAGAGACCAGCAGAGAGCAAGAAGGGTACCTACCTGGGTGGGGAAGCGTGTCTCGCCACCATTCCTGCCCGTCCACCCATGAGGGTCAATCTCCAAATCTCCATGGCTGACCGCCTCGAACACCCCATGCAGGCGGCGATCCGAGAAGTTGAAGAGGAAGAGAGGCATGCCGGGAGATACACCGGGGAGGGGACGGCAGGCAGACCTTTGGAGAAACAGCAGGGACGAGAGACTGGTAGAGAGAGGAGGAGGAAACTTGGGCAGGGAGTGGATGGAAAGAGCAGGGAGGGTACCAACCTGGGCGGGGAAGCGTGTCTCGCCGCCATTCTTGCCCGTCCAGCCATGAGGGTCGATTTCCAAATCGCCATGGCTGACCGCCTCAAAGATCCCGTGTAAACGGCGGTCCGAGTAGTTAAAGAGGAAGAGAGGCAAGCCGGGAGCGAGACGGCAAGGAGGACAGCAGGGAAGAGAGACGGACCCATGGAGAGGGAGACAACAAAGAAGAGAAACCAGCACAGAGCAAGATAGGTACCTGGGCGGGGAAGCGTGTCTCGCCGCCATTCTTGCCCGTCCAGCCATGTGGGTCGATTTCCAAATCGCCATGGCTGACCGCCTCAAAGATCCCGTGTAAGCGGCGGTCCGAGTAGTTAAAGAGGAAGAGAGGCAAGCCGGGTTTGATGTTCTGAACGTACTCCATGTGGTTGTAGGGCAGGCCTGAGGGGGGAGAGTGGGAGGATGGGAGGGAAGGCGTGATGAGGGGAACGAGTAGAGGAAGAGAGGCATGCCGGGAGCAATGTTCTGAACGTACTCCATGTGGTTGTAAGGCAGGCCTGGCAAGGAGGCGAGGCAAGAGAGGGAGAAGCGAGGATACGTAAGCTCTTTTGATCGAATCAAAAGGAAGACAGGAATGCCAGGCGATGTTCTGAACGTACTCCATGTGGTTGTATGGCAGGCCTGTGAGGGGAGAGTGGGACGGTGGGAACAGGGAAAAGAGATTAATGACCGGACCGGAAGGTAATGCTTTTTACATCCTCTTTTGACAGTTGAGCGCCAATAAATCGTTATAAGAACGCTCACCGAAAAGTTCTTTTGTGACACATTCCGAGAAAGTCTCTTTGGTGCATCCGAACACGCAACCCCCCAGATGCTCCCGCGGCAACAGGCGGAACTGCACACGCTGATGGCCAAGTTTCTCTGGTACATACTCGCTATAAGAACACTCACCAAATAGCTCTTTTCTGATATATTCCGAGAAAGTCTCTTTGGTGCATCCGAACACGCAACCCCCCAGCTGCTCCCGCGGCAACAGGCGGAACTGCACGCGCTGATGGCCAAGTTTCTCTGTTACATACTCGCTATAAGAACACTCACCAAATAGCTCTTTTCTGATACATTCCGAGAAAGTCTCCTTGGTGCATCCGAACACGCAACCCCCCAGCTGCTCCCGCGGCAACAGGCGGAACTGCACGCGCTGGCGCGACGAATCTCCCTTCTGGTTTGCCGTGTCATACTGATACGTCGTGGTCTTTCGGCCAGCACCCATCTTCCTCAGCTCAGCTTCTAAGGTCACATGCAATCATGTAATCTAGAGAGATAGCCGACAAGAGTCTTGCTAAATTAATATATGTTTCTGAGTCCAATCTCTCCGGCACTTCGAGAAACGTATTGTTCAATCGACCTGAACCTGTCGTTCAATAAAAAATAAGAATCCTTGATTCGTGACGACCAAACGCCAAAGCTTTGTTCTCGGGAACGTCACGCTAGAGTGCAGACGACACTCTATGACCAAGAAAAAAAGAATCGTGAAATGTAAATCTACGAGAATGTTCACGTATTTGTTTGAATTCGTGAATGCAACAGCAGTCCTTCGTTAAAACGTTAAAAAAAATTGCTTCGTCCCTGCTCGGCTGGTACGCGGTGGAAGCACGGAGCCGCTGGTAACACCCTGATTCTATACGCGCAATGTCAGTAAGCGATCCTGAAAATACGAGCGACGCCGAAGTAAGGAGGAACCGCGCGAGGTATATTTCAATAAGAGACGAGGAAATCAGCAGAAGGCATAGCCATGCGACCAGATTTCAAGAAGTGGGAGGAAACGAATGTGATGATGAAATCGGGAGGCATGAAGAGCTACACATGGGGGACGGAGAGATAGGACGTGCGGAAAATCCGGTAAAGAGTACAAACAGGCGGATTCAAGTTGGGAATGCCTACACTCAAGAAGATTCATTGTGTAACGGCAAGAAGATTCTGGTCCACTATCCTTCGCTATCCTGCTCTCTCTGCAGCGGACACCATTATGACTCAAATCATGATATGTTCGTCACAGAGCGGCAGAATAACATAGGGAAGTGGCACCTTACCTTGGGAAGGGTGCATAGGATCAATGGTAATTGCGATGATCTTTCGCATCCGTGTTTCGCACCTTCGGTTTTTTCCTTCATTCCGAATGCTAACGTTGGGGTCCACTGTCGCAGCTGCACCCTTGCGCACCTCTGCGCTGATCACGCCTATTCTCCAGGATCCGGAAATCGCTCTGATTTCCACGGGCTGCAACAGGGAGGAGTGGATATGTGTCAAATCATAATGTTCTGTAGGCTGTAGTGGGGTAGCCTATATGGGGTACACATTTCTAGGGTTGCATATTTGTACCACATTCCATTCCTTAATGCATCATTCCCGTTTCAATTCTCACATGGTATCGAGCAGGTTCCCTCGTGGGAACTGTGCCTAGGGCCGACCAAGTCGAAAGTTTTTTTTTTTTTCCTGCCCGGAGCGCGCTCAGCCCGAGTCGCGCTCCCCTCTCTGACTTCGTCGAGCCGCCCTAGCAGCCAAGTCGCGCCGCCTTAGCGGCCCCTGATTCGTCGCCCTAGCGACCCCGTCGCCCTACCTAGGGCCCCGGCCCCGTCGCCCTACCTGCGCCTCGGCCCCGTCGCCCTACCTGCGCCCCGGCCCCGTCGCCCTACCTGCGCCTCGGCCCCGTCGCCCTACCTGCGCCCCGGCCCCGTCGCCCCACCTGCGACCCTGGCCCCGTCGCCATACCTGCGACCCCGGCCCTAGCCCCGTCGCCCTACCTGCGCCCCGGCCCCGGCCCCGTCGCCCTGCTTGCGACCCTGGCCCCGTCGCCCCACCTCCGATCCCGGCCCCGTCGCCCTACCTGCGCCCCGGGCCCGGCCCCGTCGCCCTACCTGCGCCCCGGCCCCGGCCCCGTCGCCCTACCTGCGTACCGGCCCCGTCGCCCTACCTTCGACCCGGCCCCGTCGCCCTACCTACGGCCCCGCCCCGCCGCCCTACCTGCGGCCCAGCCGCCCTACCTGCGGCCCCGCCGCCCTGCCTGCGGCCCAGCCGCCCTACCTGCGGCCCACCCGCCCTACCTGCGGCCCCACCGCCCTCACCTGCGGTCCCCGCCGCCCTTACCTGCGGTCCCCGCCGCCCTTACTTGCGGTCCCCGCCGCCCTCACTTGCGGCCCCGCCGCCTTCCCTGCGGCCTCGTCATCTGCTGCAGCGCCGCCCGCCACCCGAGCCGCCCGAGCTGCCTCACCTAGCCGAGCAGCCGACCGCCGCGCCGCCGTACAGCAGCACAGCCGAGCCGCCCAGCAGCTGAGCAGCCGGACAGCCGAGCAGCCGAGCCGCCCTGCAGCCGAGCCGCCCAGCAGCCGAGCAGCCGAGCCGCCCAGCAGCCGAGCCGCCCTGCAGCCGAGCCGCCGTGCAGCCGAGCCACCGAGCCGCCGACGCGCCCTACCTCCGAGCCGCCCGAGCAGCCCCGTCCAGTAAGCACAGAGCCTCTGTCACTGCACTGCCCTTTCCCTACTGTGTGTGCTGCTAGTCTACTGCTGTCATGGCTACCCCTAGTGTCCTCGCTTTTGACGCCGAGGGTCGAGCCATTGACTTTGACGTCTGGGTAGATGACCTGCAGCTGTTCTTACAGTGCGATAGGGCAGACGGTCTCTCCCTCTTTGACCTCACCTCTGGTTCCTCTCTTGCTCCTGCTGCTGATGTTGACGCCACTATTCGCTCACAGTGGGCCACGCGCGATGCTGCTGCACGTCTTGCTGTGCGTCGCCACCTCCCTACCTCTGAGCGTGCGCACTTTAGCCAGTACAAGAGTGCTCAGACCTTGTACGACGCTGTAGTTGCACGCTACTCCTCCCCTGCCACTGCTGCACTGAGCCGTCTCATGCTACCGCACCTCTTCCCTGACCTTGCTGCCTTTCCCACAGTCGCTGACCTCATTACGCACCTCCGCACTAGTGACACTCGCTACCGCGCTGCGCTTCCTGCTGACTTCTGCGCCAAGAACCCCCCCCCCATGTACATCACTCTCTACTTTCTAGTCACTCGCCTCCCTGACTCCCTTCGCGTAGTCAGGGACCACTTCCTCTCAGTCTGTCCCACCACTCTCAGTGTTGACCTCCTCGAGAAGTCCCTCCTAGCGGCCGAGAAGAGCATAGTCGCTGTAGGGGCCTCTCGTGGTGACCCGCGCACCCCCATCTTTGAGGGGTGTTCTCCCTCCCCCCTTCTGCCCTCTGTTGCCTCTGCTGCTGCGGCCGACCTCCTTGGTCTTGAGTCGGTCGGTGCGGCGTCTGCCCCTAGCGGGAGACGCCGCTCTGGCAAGGGCAAGGGGGGCAGGGGCACTGGAGGAGCGAGCAGGGGCGGTGGAGGTGGAGGTGGAGGCGGCGGGGGGAGTGGGGGTGGCGGTGGGAGTGGAGGTGGGGGTGGAGGTGTCGGTGGCGGCAGTGGAGGCGGAGGCGGCGGCGGCGGTGGCGGTGGGAGCGGAGGTGGCGGAGGTGGTGGCGGTGGAGGAGGCGGCGGAGGTGGCGGTAGTAGCGGAGGCGGCGGAGGCGGCGGAGGCGGCGGGGGTGGCGGTGGAGCTGGTCGCGGGTATACGCAGAGGAGTGGCTCCGGTGGTGGTCCGCGCCAGCAACTGCAGCGCGGTCGTGAGACCCTGTCCCCTCAGCAGCTCCGTGAGTGGTACACTGCACGCCAGCGGGGTGGGGGCTTTGGTCCGTGCACCTACGTCCTGCGCACCGGCGACCGTGCGGGTGAGCAGTGTGGGGGTGCGCACCCCACCCAGCGCTGCTTTGGCCGCCTGACGGACGCGTGGCGTCACCAGTTCCCGGAGGCCACAGAGATCCCTCGCTAGGGCGAGCTGTCTAGGGCGGGAGTTGCCACCTATGATCTTGATTTTGATGCTATCCTTTCTGCCATGTATGCTGTGTCTATTAGTGATGAGGGTGACTGTTACCGGTGTTTCCCGCCCGACCCGGGCATTGAGACTGCTGCTCTAGGTACTGGTGAGGCTGCTGCTCTAGGTGCCAGTGAGGCTGCTGCTCTAGGTGCCAGTGCGTCTGCGTCCTCAGGTGCTGGTGAGTCTGCGCTCGCAGGTACAGCGTCGGCTTCGACCTCCCTCACCTTCACACTTGACTCAGGGGCTTCTCGCTCCTTCTTTCGAGACCGCACCACACTCACGCCGCTTGGTCGGCCGGTTGCAGTCTCCCTGGCAGACCCCTCAGGGGGTCCTGTCCTTTCTCACTTCTCCACTGTCCTCCCGTGTCCGGCGGCCCCCTCTGGCACCTTGTGTGAACTTTACCTCCCCTCGTTCT